AGATGTCTAAAGACACAGACAAAAACATTTTTTCTTTCAATATCACCATTCGTACCATTAGAATTAGCAGCCTTTGTTGCTAGTAAATCTAGCCATGCTCTCTTCTTTGCTTCAACTTCCATACGTATCTCATCACCCCACCATAACGTATTATTTGTCCTTTCATTCTTTCTCTTACTAACACCACATACTTCGGTAGCTGCATCCACTAAACCTTTCTTTACATTTTGCCATATATTCTCCAAGTCTAACTCCTTCATACATAATTCATCCAAACCACTTATATTTTCTTTCAGTTTACATTTGAACTTGTTTTTATCACTTTCATCTTGTAAACTTTCTGTTCTAAAACGCTGTAACGCAGTGGTAGACACATGTCGATGGCGCCAACGCCTGAATAAACCATTAATTCGGCATAAAACTAAATAATGATCCGTTCCTACGTTAGAACTCCGGTAAACTCTCGTATCTACCACTGCGCCCCTCAATCTTTCATCCATAATTATGAAATCTATCATGCTTCTATCGTCACCTCTTTCCCAAGTATACATGTGAATCCTCTTGTGGCGAAAGCAAGTGTTCATCACAAAAAAGATTCTTTTCCATACATACGGTGAGGAGACTTTCACCATTCTCATTTATACTTTCATCACCAAACGTTCCTAATATCCTTTCATAACCAAGCCTCCTCACCCAAACCCTTCCATTAAAATCTCCTAGCATAATAATATTTTCATTTCCCTTACACTTCATTAACACCATCCTTACCATTTCCCAAAACTGCTCTCGGATATAAGTGGGCTTAGACATGTCTGGGGCGTAGACCCCTAACACAAACAACTTCTTTAAGCCCACTTTCATTCGTATCCATAGCTGTCTTGGGCTTACACATTCATACTCTTTCACACATTGGCCATTCTTTCTGAAAGGATGATACCTACTCCCTGGCATGCCCGCTCGATCTCGTCTACACCAGACCAGTATGCGATATACATGCCATGTGTAATGACATCCTTCCCCTTCCGTTTCGTCTCATTTACGCATAACACATATAATTTAAAACCAAAAGAGTCACTGAGACAAAAATTTAAGGAAATTAATATATTAACTCTGGTCTCTCAATACATTTATGAAAATGTAATGTACGTACACAAAAATAAAAGTAGTTTTGCGAAAATAAGTGATATTCATTCTGTAAATACTAGGAGCAGACACAAGCTGGTAGTATCAGTTACTCGACTCCACGGAGTCAGTAATTCATTCTTGGGGCGATGTATACGCTTTTACAACAAAATCCTAGAACATATACAAAATTTGTCATACACAAAGTTCAAAAATGTTATTAAACTAAGTTTGTATAAAAAGGGTTATTATAATATTAAGGAATTTATAGATGATAATAACCCCTGGGAAGGGTGATCGCTACCAAGCTATTTCTAATTTGTCTTGTGTTGTTGATTGTAAACATGATTGTAAGCTATTATTAAAAAAAAATAGTCCCGCTGGGTTTCTTGCTGATTCTTCCCAGGACAGAGGTTTTTTTTGCGAACCAGTGGTAAATTAAAAAAGTGACTTTCAATAAGTATTTTTATAATCTACATTGAATAAAAAAGTTTCTATTTCTATTTCTACATCTATTCCTCTATCATACATCATATCGCATACTTCATCCTTTTTATCATTCATTGCCCCACATACATTCAACGTAGCCAGACGGGCCTCTGCAATCCACTTTTCGCCTCTCCGGGAGACGTTCTGTCATTCAATAAAAATAAATAAAAATGAACTTTATTTCAAACATGTTAAAGTCTTTGCATTCGTAGATTTGTACTGCGACCACAACATTCTTCCGGATTTAGTATAACTAATTTGATAAATAATCAGTGCATAAAAATGTTAAAAACTAAAAATTCAGTGTATTTATTATTAACGTATACGCAAACTCCAGCCAGAGGCACAAAGGACTGTTTCAGTTTGTACCCCGGGTAGGAGAGATACGAAGCATCTGCCGGAGATGACACCTGCGTCTCGGTCAGAAAGAACAGAGCCGGCCTCGCGATCTCGAGATGGTAGTGGTTCAGTTGTTATCTTGAGCGGAGTTTTGACCCCACCCCTTATGCTCAGCGAGGGATTCTCCAGGGGTGCTGGTACCTTCCTGGGGTAGTTCTTTATTTATTCCGCTACCATGTCAGGGGGAAGGGGGGAATTGGGCCTCGGGCCACCTGCACTCACCAGACGAAACGCGGAAGTACGAAATAGTACAAACAACTTCCAGTACGTGATGTTCGTATCGTACTGATTAATTTATTTGAAAGTTATATACTTATATCATTTAACTTCAGGGAATATTATCATTCCCAATTAAACAATATAACTCTTTCAAATTTAAAACGATATTTCCGCGATTATTACTTCTGTGGCTGTAACGCGCCGGGTAGGTAGTAATGAATAAAAATGAAATGCCAAAATAAAACTTCTGTAAATAACACAACATTATTTATTTCCTCTCTACTATAATAAAATTAGTTTTTTCTTTATACACTAGTAATAAAACAAGTGTGAACAAAAGTCTTTTAGACTTTTGTGCTACGAAATTATAATTAAATCATAAATAAAATAACTTTTGGCTGCCATATTGGTATTTTAACAGGGACCACTTTAGTACCGGCTGAAAGAAATATGAGAGAAAATCCACTCTCCCATATGCCGTCGCGTGGGTGTCGTAAGATGCAACAAAAGGAAAGTGAAACGGGAAATAGGTAGCAGCATTTTCCTGATAACTTAATAAAAAACTGCAGTTGCTAACTCACTTGCTAAGCATAGCAACTATGGTTAATATGATGTATAGGGAAGGCAAATGATCAGCAGTGGACTTGATGGGCTAATCAATAAATAAAAATAACAAATTTTTTGTATTTATTGTTTAGTCAGTGTTTAGTAATTTGTGTGATTCGCCAAAAAAGGCTTTATTTTTTATCTAATACATAGAAGAATTCAACTCTGCTGGTCAGCTTTCGGAAAATTACGACACATCTCGTTTCAGGTATACCTCAAAACCTGAAAATGAGATTGTACAACCAGTGTGTGTTGCCTTTGACGATTTATGGATCTGAGATGTGGTCCTTCATTGCTGGACGTATGAGGATGCTCAAGGTCGCACAGTGAGCTATGGAGAGGGCTATCTATGCTCGCGGTTTCTCTGCATAATAAACTTAAAAATGAGGACATCTGCAATAGAACCAGATTGACCGACATAGTCCAAAGGATTAGTAAGCTGTAGTGGCAATGGCCCGGTCATATAGCTCGCAGAACCGAGAACCAATGGCAAAAAGCATCTCGAGTGGCACCTTCATAATGGTAGGCAAAGTGTAGGGCTACCCCCTAGATGGAGTGACAACTTGGAAGTCATGCAGGAAGTTGATGGATGCAGGTGGCTCAGGACCATGCTTTGTGGCATACCTTTGGGGAGGCCCATGGACAGCAGTGGACTTGTGAAGGGCTGTAATGATGATGATGATGACATAGGAGAATAATTTTTCTGACCATGATTTACATTATACACTAACTATTAATCTTAATTTGTAATGCTTAAAGTCTGCTCTATCACTTTTTCTTGTTACGGAAATCACATATAAAAATGTAATTAATTAATATCATAAAGCAAATTTTCAAAACCTTGAACCTTTTGTATTCTAGTTGTGAAATCAAGATGTAAATTAACACATCATTGTAAATTAAAATACCCTCTATTTGCATGCTCCCTTATTACTTTTCAATTTAGCATAATATTTGTATTTTATACTCATGTTTATATTTCATACTTGGGTGGAGATTTTTAATAATAACATCACATAATATGTTGAATACCTACAATACAGTATCAATATACATTGCAAATAAAATATACAAATTCTAAAAGAAATCAATAATGTTTTGTTACACTTTCAACAAGCAGTAATGTCGTAGTTCTTCATTTAGAACAAAAAATTCTGTATTCTCATATTAAGCGAAAATAAAATTAACGAATCAAAATTGTAACTATCAATCTCAACACTAAATAAATTGAACTTTTAATTTTTTTATTTACAAGCCTTCAGTCACCTTTCTGTCTTATTACAAAAAGTGATAATAGTTTTCAAATAAAATCGGAAAGAATGTAAACAACACAGAAAGTCACTATTTTCTACAAATTGCTAAAAGATATAATTAACAGGATCAGGCATTACTTTGCGGAAACCCATTATATTAAAGTTGGCTAAAATTATTTCCCCCACAAACTATTTGTCTTACATAGTTTGAAGAGCACTGCATCCTCCCTCAATTGCGTTTGATTTAGACTGCGGTGCGATCTCAGATCTTAGTAGTCGGCCATCGCAGTCTACTCCACCTGAGGATGCCTCGTGTAGGGGCGAACACATGTATTATCTTTGGTGGTCTTTCCTAGTGTAGTGGTGACGAGAATAGTGTGTGCAAAAGAGGTGCTCTTCAAACTAGGTAAGACACATCACTTTATTTCATTAAGCAGATATGGGCGAAGTAATTCTCACCAACTTTAATATAAAATATAATCCTCATACTTGCATTTTGTCACAATACATTATAGTACTATTGATTTCTTCCACACATATTATATTATTCTGTTTCTCAAGGGCAATCTTGTGAAAAATATAGTCCAGGATTTTGACAACAAATGCCAAATATCACAAAGCCTATGATGCTATAGCTAAGGGATTTCTTTTGTGGTAAATAAATAATATGCAAGGACCTTGTAAGCTCATTGCCGCAGTGGAGTTAAGTAGCAGTGTTGAGGGCCTCAGGTTCAAATTCCACACAAACAAGTATTTGTATGGCCTACAAATATTTATTTCAGTTTGGATGAGTGTCCCTGTGCAATTTATGTATGTAAACTGCCTCCGTGACACAGGAGAAAATTTTAGTGTGGGGGTAATGCTCCTTTAAAGAATAAGATAAAGAATCTTATTAACATCTTCACACCTTTGTTACACTTTGCCTTTCATCTGATTACTACCTCTTGTTTCAACTTTATCATTTTTGCTATCTTCTAATTGTTTGACTTCAGTGTTTTGTAGTTGCTTCCTAAAGGTTGCGGGTCCAGCAAAAGTAGCAGCAGATTTCTTTGTTTCAGGAATATAAATTTCATATGTTTTGAAATATTTCAAAATTGTTTCTACATCCTTTTCTTTAAGCTTATATTCTAAAGCTATTTTCGAAGCTGTTACTTCACTTGGGTTCATTTGGTGGGATTCAATAAACTCTAAAGCCCGGCGTAATGTTGTTCTTCCATATGGAATCGTATCTGGTTCCTTCAATCCAAGATCGTAGTTCTGAACTTGTCTTCGTTCTTGAGGAAGTGGGCGGTTTGGATTTTGTTTCATCTTTTCTCTTGTAATGTCATCTTCTGGACGTCCGTGAGATGTTACATAAACATCTTTCAATCTCCCATCGAGGGCCGGATCCTTTTTATCAAGTTTATCGTCTAAGTTGGGAACTGCTTCCAGCGTCCGTTTCAAATCTTCAATATTCGCCTCATACTTCGGCGCCGGGACTGGTTTTTCTTTCGATATTACTCTATGAGCTCGATTTTCAATATTAAATGACTTTATAGGCCGTAAGACTTTTGTTACTAAAGCACCCATCTCAGGTGGCGTTAGTCTTATTTTTTTATTTATAGCACCTTAAATGAAGGTAAATACATTCTTAAATAATAAATTTAAATCAATTGTTTTACAACTCAATAGGTTATATTTTTGACACATATATGACATTGACATCTCTCTGTCCGTCAATTGTTGTCTTTGTTTACTTTCCCATAGAGATATAATACCTATATATACTTCTAAGTCAGTGACTTTTCCAGCAAGGACTTCCTTCAGCTACCAGTGACAACTTTATTGTTTGATTAAGCGCTTATTACATTATACAATTTTTAGGAAATCTAATTAGGAAGTAGGAAGGTGTAATCGTAGTTAGAACAGTTAGGATCCGATTTAGTCAAATTGGAGGTCCCAAATCGCTCTACTTCCTAAATTGTTTACAATTTAGGACAGTGTAATCGCAACGTTACGATTTAGAACAACCAGTCGGCGTCCGCGCTTTGATAAAAGCGGATGTCTTGAAGTTTTGATAGAAGTATGATATCAGAGAGCAGTACTTTAAATCTTAATATTAATTTCCGATGGCTATAAGACGTAATGTCACCATCAAACATTCTTTGGCACTCACACTTTATCGAAATATCGTGACTTCTTTTTCAATATGTTTGGATACCAAACTTAACAAATAATCAAACTGTTTTATAGGTGGTAGAGCCATGCTGCAGTTATATTATTAGTATAGTTGTAGCACGAATGGGTCGGCTCGAGCGAGGAAGAAAAACGCTCTCACAGAATACCAGCGTAAAATAGTAGCTTAATGTTGATGTGTTTCGTATGGCGAGTGTAGAGAACAGGAGACCCTTTTTACTGGAAACGAGGCATTCCATCTTAGTGGTCACAGGTGACAACGCATCTGCATTTTGATTTGTAATCGGAGATAAATGTAGATATCCATGGGCCGCAGCAACCAATTACCATCAGGTGGACTGTGTGCTAGTTTGTCACCCTATCCTATAAAAAAATTGCTTATAATCTAAAAATATATAATTATATTCATATTGGACAGTTTCTTCTCAATGACAAGTACTCTTTTCTCTTTTTTTTAATATCCATTGTTCCCACCATGGCTAAGGCAAGTCCTATTTTCTGCTGTTTTGATAAATACGGCGCCATCGATCAAATGTGCAACCCCGTCGATACTTCTTTACGAATGCGCTTCGTCACGATTTAGAATTTAATTTAGTGTAATGTGATCACTAGCTTCCAATTTAGGTTCCTAATTAGATTTTCTAAAAATTGTATAATGTAATAACCGCTTTATAGTTCATACGCAAATAGGTACCCAACAATGCCTATGCACGGCGGTGTAGTTGGTCCTTAACGTAGACAGAGAAACCTATAGACTAATGATTAGCGTGGCCTCGAGTGAGAAAGGACGACAACGTAGTTTAAGGTTATACAGTAATCTTTATGACTTTTAAACATATTTAGATAAAAAAATTTAATTGTTCTAAGAACTGAACTGAACAAGATTCACCAATCTTAAGCTCACGAAACACTTTTTTCTCACTTAAACCAACTGGTAAACTTCTTAGATCGCTACGAACTGTCAAAGTTGTTTAGTAAAGTGTAGTTTGCTAAACAAAAAACCGGCACGAAGAAAGGGACAAACAATCACACCGCTATATCTTATTTCTAGTATCTCTGTCTACGGTCCTTAACTTAGACCATTTAATGGTCTAAGGTCCTTAATGATGTTCGCAAAACGTTTACAAAGAAGACGTCACTCGTTTTAAAAATTACTGATTACAACAATAACTATTTTTTTTTTACGAAGAAGACGTAGCGCGTGATTTAAGAAAGAGAAAATTAGTGATTTCAGTAACTATTTCGTTTTTTTTTGTATATTGACAGTCTTAACACCCTTAATAATAGAATAAAATACCCAACTCATTAAAAAAGCCTTTCTTTTTCTGTTTCTGTTTTTGCTTACCAGTTATGTAAACAATTCGGTAAAGTTTTACAGATAATTCATATTAAACTAGTAAGAAATATAGTTATAGTTACAGCCTACATACGTCCCACTGCTGGACACAGGCCTCCCCTCATTTCTGAGAGTTTTTAGGGCATGGAAGTGTCCGCCGCGCTGCCCCAATGCGTGTTGGCAAATTTCACGTTTTCGAAATATTTTTTTCTTATTTTTCAGACATGTAGGTTTCCTCACAATGTTATCCTTTACCGCCGAGCTCGTGGTAAATCAGCAATTAAAATTGCAATTAACAATTTCATTGGTGCCGGCGGCGATCGAACCCGGTTAGCTCGCGTTCTGTGAAATTTACAGCGAGTGCTAACTATCTGAGCTACCATGGCTTTTAGTACAAAATATAGATACATTAATTTACCGTAAATTACTGTAAGATACCCTTTTTCCTTTTGTCTTTTTCAGTTATTGTTAGAGTCCATTATAAGTCCAATTTACTGGATAGAGGAAGCCCCCATAGATTTTCTATTATCCCAACCCACCTGCCAAACTTGCCAACTGGGGAATAATTTCTACAGTTGGCAAGTTTGGCAGGTGGGTTGGCAACCGAAGTTTTTTTAATTTTTAGTTGTAAATAGGAAAAATCCTCTGCCCATCTCCTGGTTTCCCTTAGTTGCCACTTATGACACCCAAATGACGATATATTTGATTTGAAAATGACTTTATTCGTTTTTAGATATCGATTTCAAAAGTGCTCGCGATAAATGATCGACAGTCCATAGTTCGCATTCAAGCAATATGTAATTTTTGGATGTGTTAGTTATTTGGTTTACATATTATTATAGAAAGTGTAGGTGCTTCATTATTATTGTTAGATAAAGACAATATTACTTTATCCGCTTTATATGAATTTTAAAATATAGAAAAATATACTTAGCTGTTGAGATATAAAATCTTACATTTTAGCTTCGACAACGCATCACGGATAGTAGATTTAGAAGAATCTTTTTTAAGCATCCTCAGTTTTAGCGGTGGTGTGTTGGTAGCCCGTGATTGTTCTGCAACTAACCGAGCTTGCGGTGGGCTTGGACTGCGGCCAAGCCGACGGCGATAATATGAGTGAGAAGATTCTCCCGCAACTAAAAATATTATCCGTTATGTTTAAAATAAGTTGAATTATGAATTCTTATCAAACAAAATACTTAAAACTTAATTATTTCCTAATAATGCAAAAATAATGTATTACATAAAAATCTGCTTGTTGATTTTACCATAGTTATCACGCTTAGAAGGGGTGGCAACCACAGATAATTTTATTTTCTAGATGTTATTCAAAATAGTCTGTTGTCTCCTGGCTTGTCTTTCAGTCACCTCTAACAGCAGAAAGTTATTTTTATATTTGAATTGTTCATATTACAACACTCTAAAATTAATTTGGTGCAAAATAAAAAACCTGTACCAAAAGATGAAGGCGCATTGCATGTTGTAATTCCATAAATTGATTCATAATGCTCATTAGGTCTTTGAAGTGGCATTTTTGCTGTTATCCCAGGTGTAGATCTCAATTGCCTCTCACGATTTTCTTTGTAGGCTCGCATTAGAAAATCCTAAAAGCATATCGAAAGTAGGTAGCAAAATTATCTAATTGACATGTATGATATAATTAGTAATTAATTATTACAGCAAGTTACACATTTTTATATCTATAGCACCATTCCAATAAAAATTACTTGTTGTGTTGTATGAAAAAATTCATATGTTAGATATGTGGTTACGGCTTAAGAGTATTCCTCACAAACATTTTGCTCCATGAGTGCTGTTAAAGTCGTCTCAGGAATGCCCTAGAAAAGGTTGAATACATACGTTTAAAAAACTGAATCCTAACCCCGCCGGCACTAATGAGATAGATAATAGCAATTTTAGGTGCTGATTTACCACGTGCTCGACGGGGTAGAAAAATATCGTGAAGAAACCTGCATGTCTGAGAAATGAAAAATTCAAGGACATGTGAAATCTGCCAAAGAACATTAGAGCAACTCTGTTAAATCTCATTATATAAAAATCATTGCCCTAACACCCTCTAAAAATGATAAGGAGAACTTTGCCCCTTAGTGAACGTATCTAGGCGTAAAATGATAAAATATTGTTTGATACTTACTCGAGCTTCATTTACAGTTTTCACAATAGGACCTTGAGTTGTACAAAACGTAGGAATAGGAGCGTACTCACTGGAGATCTTTTTGTAACAGTCCTGCAACGCAATATATTTTTGAAGTGAAACTTCTTTGCGTGCGATGAGGGTAACTTTTCAAGGCCGCTTCACGATAATAATAATATGAACGTCAGATTTTAGTGCGACAATTTTAAAGGAGACTATTTCCCATCACAAATTCTAAGGATTCTTAATGAAATGCATGTCGATTTATTCCTTATAATCTATAGATTACAATAGTGTTATAGTTTCACTTCTGACATGCGTACTCTGTACACACGCTGTTTTTTTTTATTATAGTATAGTAATATATAATATAATAGCCATTATTTTTTTAAATAAATAACTATTGTAACCATTAATTAAATTCATACATGATGGTTTGGTGTGTTCTTTTTCTCAAGAAATGTTGATGTCGTAGGCCAGCCTAAGGAACGAGGATCGCCGGAGCCGCAGCTGCGACGCGATTTATTGTTATCGTTTTTATTCCTAGAAGTGTAAATTTAAAAAATTATTTCATTAATAAACAAAACACTACTATTATTTAACTAAAAAGAAGATTAATTTAATATAACGTACTCCACAAATTGAGTCCTTTGACTACAGTTCACATTTGGTGACTTTATACGCCTGATGCACTGTTCGTTTTCCAGAGTTTTAATAGAAGCTGTTAAAAATGTGTTTGAAATTAATAAAATGGAATATTTTTTGTAGTTCTTATTGAAAGTTTTTTATTTTTACAAAAGTGCCTTTATAAAAATATATTTCCCATTTTTACAAACCTTGTCTATTAGACTGCAGCATGCATTAGTACTGTTACAGCACTTAGGTGTATATTTTGCGCAACGCACTGCCAATTTCCATATCATTTCGTACCAGACGTTAGTACACGAATGACAAAAGAGAATTCTCTTCCATTTTGGTACATTTAAATTTTCCGATTGGCAATCTAATCCGTCGTTCTCAAATACAGCGCTACTATTTATAATACAGCCTTTCATACGAGACATGGGCACAGAGGGCTTTACGGTTAAATCACAAGAGGTAAGGAATGTCTCTTCGTTTTCATTATTTTCTGAATAATAGAATAAAAAAAAATCATAAATGTTTCCGTAAAAAATATAAAATAATGTTTATTCGAAACAAAAATAAAACGAAAATTTGGCAGTGCGATACGATTAAAGTTAAGTAGTAAAATGGGATGCATAAACAGTGTTATTTTAAAAAATCAATGGTAAAAAATGCTACTGTTTGTTTTTCAACAATTATAAATGCAACGATTATTAATCAATTTTTCAAAAGTTTTACCTCCATCCCTGGTTTTAGAAGCATGGGGCCTTGGTTGTAGTGAAATATCTATTCGATTATGCCTTTGTATGGGAGGCAGTGGGGAAGGTGATTTACTAAATAAAATTGGCTTCTGCTTGAGAGCTTTTTCAGTTATTGAATATAAACCGTATTCGTGTTTTGGGAACTTATCATCGTCACCGAATGTCCGTCTCCTGTCACAAACTTTTATAATTTTATTATATTATATAGATAAAAATTTGCTGACTATCTCTAAGTTTATAAGAACTTAATCGTACTTATATGCTAAATAGGTACCAGAGTATTTACGAGAACAACCTTTGATAAACATAAACTAAACAATGATATATTATATTTTCCAGGACCCCAAGGTTAAATAATAAATATTTATTAATAATTACTCAGTAGTACCCAATAATGAACAGTTTAGAGCAGAATAGTTAGCACAGGATCGTAACCCTCGCATAAGTAATCGTTCTCCTTCGTTCGTTAGTTATCAGGACGCATCTCAGGTAGGTGATGTTGGCGTTAGAAAAATAAGTTGTTATATCGCCTTTACATTTCAAGAATAAATTTTTGTAGGTATCATGTTCTCACTGCCGAATTCCGATTATGGCGGTCAGCCTCAACTGATATTAGCCATCTAACTATAGTGCACGAGGGTGTGCGTAGACACAGGTGGAATCTATTCTTCCGCTCTCATAGTCTGATGGTACTGCAATTCAACATGACTGGAATCAGGCGTACGGCTTTATGTGCTTTCCGAGACAATCACTGAAATTTCCTGCCTTTGAGCTGCTAATGAGAATATCTTGATAGAAAACCTCAATAACTTAAATTGGCCCGACCCCGGGATTCGTACTACAACGACAGGCACACAAGCAGACGGTTTCTTTGAAATATCGTCTTATTAGCAATACGTGCGAAACCCGGTTATTTGTACCCATTGTCGAAATTGTGAATAAGAAGATTGCCCATCTTACTTCCAAAAAATTCCATTTACTCCACTTAGTTCGGTATTTAAAGACTATTACCATAACTTTTTAGACTAAAACAATCACAAATGAAGTGATTCTTAAAACTCTACGATTCTCAATTATTTTTTTTTTTTAATTTAAAGTTGTATACCCAAAAATTTGGCCTTTGCTTACCTATATAAATTCCCTTGTTTTATCAGCCACGGTTCAAGTTGTTCCAACCATTCCTGTTACAAAAAATTTGATGAAAAAATTGTCTATAGTCAACCAAATATAAGAAATACCTTTTGAAGTTTTACATTAATCATTCCGCAATAATTTTGCACAATCGTACTCAAACGATTTAAAATAACCTTACGTGAATCCGAAGAATTATGAAGTTATCTAAATTTCATTACAACCTGTATAATTTTTTATCACTAATTTAAATTCGAATCTTTCAAACATAGCAAAATATTAAAAAAACAACAATATCAACTTTTTTACTTGACGTCGTTTCAATGATATGTCGCTATGTACGTTACCGTAGTGTTAGGATGATTAAAATTCATTGTTATGCGAATAATTGGCAAAAATATTCAAATAATCTCGAATAAACTGATATCGGGTGCTGATTGCGCATGTGAAAATCTACAAATTTACATTGTTTAATTATTCTTTTACCATCATTTTAACCAAAAAATAAAAATTTATTATTTCACAGCACCCACCTTTGTTTTTTATATATCTAAACAAACATTTGACGCGCAAACAAATAATTAGTACCGATAAACATCATTTTTTACGCGCAATCGATTTATACTAGTCGCATTTTTAATAATTATTTCCGGGTGCCAACTTCATGGACCTCTATGAAGTCCTGAATTTCTTAGTAGTGCAGACAGTACCTGTCAATGTCATACTTTATGGGCATGCCGACCTAATTAGTGCCGCCATCTTGTTTGATATCAAGCTTAACTGGGCACAAGTCAAAGGTTTGTTTGCTTGAATTTCAGTTAGATAGGTACTTTAATTATTAACTACTGTTTAATTAATCTTATTAAATATATGTTTTCTTTTAAGGTTACGCTGCCAGATACAACACAACACCGCCTTTCACGGCAAATAAAATGTTGCAGTTATTAAAAAGTGCGGTCGACAATGTATCTGCAGAAGACTGGAAGAAGGTGGTAACCAAATGCAGAAAACTAATGGAAGAAGATTGGGAGCGGGACGTCCGATTTGATAATATTGGCAAACAAGAGTTTATAATAAATTTACAAGATTGTTCTAGCGATTGAAAAACTGATTCAGATATGGATTTGGGGTGTACTCCTTTAAGAGAATAAATGAATTTTATATAAAAAATATTCGTTTAATTTAGTAACGTTTGTAATTAAATTAAACCCAGTTATTATATGTTACATTAGTATCGGTAATAGTAAGAAACATAGATAATTTCTATCGACAATTTTTTATACCCTGACAACCCTAGGAATGTCAGTATGACATATGTCGTAGAGATCAAGCTATCTTTTATTATCTATAGATTTGGTTGACTATAATCACAATAACATCTTTTTAATAATATACGTGTTTCCTTACCTGCTGCTGTCCGATTACGGAGCCAGGTCTGCATATCCTCATCCAACCTATAGCTTCATGAGATGTCATACGATAATGCTTGATTAGGTAACAACCAATTAAAGAACCAGTGCGCCCTAAACCTGCCTAAACAATTCCTTCATAAATACAAACTACTACAAATGTTACTGTAGTGGACGTTAAGCTGCAACGCCCGTGGCGGTCGTATATGATGTCTATGGTTGCGGACTTAAAACATGTGAACGGCAACGATGATATTAAGTTTACGCTTGCACTATGGAAGGCCTAATGATGCGCCGCTTTTCTATCGATAATGCTATTAACCAATAGGGTAATACATCAATTTTCAAAAATTGTTTTAAATGAATCCTAGACTAATAATGAATCGCTATAACTTTTATATAATTCTTTTTAAACCGAATAGTGCCATAAAACTTATTTTTAAACTATCATTTCAAATTTTTGCGTGAAAACGCTAGCCGCCATGTGTTCAACTCGTGACGTCACTGTCCTCGATTTTGCAAAGGAATAAGATACTTTTAGTTATCATCTTATCATTGTTATGTTAAGTTATCGTCTAAATCATTGTTGTGTTGTGCCTGAATGCAAAAATACGAGCATTAAAACGCCGGGAAAGTTATCGATTCAAGCCAACTGGTATAAATATAAGAAATACTTGGTTAAAACTGGCAAGAAGATATACATTGTCTGCAAAACCATACTATTCTTCTGTGAAGATCATTTTGATGTAAGTATGACTTATATTTAACTATCGTTGAACACAAAACAAACATCATGAGGTAAAGGGTATCGTAAATCAAATTTTGTAACAAATTACGTTAACTTAGATATTATAACTAATGATTGCTAATGATTGTAATTATAGATACTCGTAAATTAAACTTTGATAGCTACTAAACTATGTTTTATCAAAATACACTGACCTGGTATTGTGTTTTTGTGTTAACAAAAGTAGGTACTTAAATTGATGTTTTAACATAACTCAACCCAGCAGAACAAAAATTGGGATTGCATGCAAAAAATTTTGCCACCATCAATGTATTTATTCTTGGTAAATTAGTACTTTCTGCTTTTACAAATTCGTCTTCCATGATGCCTTTTCAATAAAATTCGAAATAAAGCTCAATAATCGTAACGATAACTTGATAAATTTTGAAATAACACAACACCTTTGCTAGTTGTCTTGATCAGTGACACAGAACACTAATACCTTTAGGTGGGATCAGTGACTTCACGACAGTATCTAATATGGACAGCGTTTTGAAAATTTGAGGCACAGACGAAAAAAATCTTAAAATTGAAATATAACATTTATAATGCAACTTTATAAACAGAAATCAATATTTCTCGTTTACTTTTTACAAAATATATCATCAATATATATTTTTGATTTTTAACACGGTGTAAAATAGCCTATTGTGTACTAAAAATTAAAATCGTTAATAAAAATAAGTTAGTATTATTTATACATCAATATTAAAGATTCTTTAAAAATTTGACACAACGTAATATTCATATACTCACGTGTTTTATATAGATTTGTAAAACTTTTTGAGCGACAGTAAAGCGTGGCCGGATACATGTATAGTCTATATTAAAATTCTAAATAAAACGTTTTTTTATTTAGAATTACGTAACTTAAAACTTATGAAATAAAATAATAACAAATTTTTACTTCAAATTGAAATTTTTGTCAGTATCTCTATAGACCACCACGTTTATTATGCTGCCTAAATGAAAATAATGGACGGCGATAAGCAAAATAAAACAAAAATAAATATAAACTGAGTAGATTCATTTTTCAGACTAGATGCATATTATCTGTACCGGATTTGAAGCCTACTCCATCAAAACTCCGGGTTTGAATTAGGTGTTTGTTATTGCCTCGATGGCTTAACAATATGTATAGTGTATAATTTTTTTCATGGATGCATAATATTTAATAATGAGTGCAAAAATGATCCGTAAGCTTAGGAAGTGCATCGACAGTTCGTGTGTCTCAAAATCACCGTCAAGAGCACAACACCGTTATGATAAGCGGTGAGTGCGTGATAAGGAGAGAAAATATACGAATTAAGGAATTTTGCTCAAATAAAGGCAATATACTTTAATATAAGTGCAAAATTAACAAATATAAATTAATATCGATCACAGACCACTACTTAACTTCTATACTTTCAGACACTATTATTTCTTGAGGATTACTCTCAAGCTACACTTTGGGACACTAGGTACGTATTTAAGGCCGCACCCAAACTATCCCCAATGCGTACTACAAACATGCACAATCAATATCTTCTTTTATGGCTGCGACATCCACGAACGTTAACGTCTACTATAGTAACGAAAACAATTACTCGTTATTAAAAATCAAATTTATTACAAAAATTCGTAACCTTGCAGTGGACAGCGATAGCACCTTCAGAGCATTCACTTATTTGCAAAAATTTAAAAAGTATATTTCTTGGTGGACATGATCCGTCGGGAAAAAACAAATCGTAATGAATGATGCCAACATTATTAAATCTGTAGGAAAAAAATATAACTAGAAATTAAATTTTGTTCGTCCTAACAGATTGACTAACAAAGAGTTGAATAGTCACTAAAATTCGTGGTAGAGCCACGCTGCAGCTATATTATGGCTGTAGCACGAAAGGGTCGGCTCAACTGGGGAAGGACCACGCTCTCACAGAATACCAGCGCAAAACTGCAGCTCTCACAGAAACCAGCGCAAAACTGCAGCTCTCACAGAATACCAGCGCAAAACTGCAGCTTAATACTGCTGTGTTTCGTATGGTGAGTGTAGAGAACCGGAGACCCTTTTTACCGGAAACGAGGCATTCCGTCAAGGGTAACGACTAATCTGCGTTTTGATTCTTAAACGAGGATAAATGTATATATTTATGGGGCATAGCATCCACTTACCATCAGGTGGACTGTCTGCTCGTTTATCACCCTTATTCTGTGAAAAAAAAACGTAACAATTATTCAGATTAAATCACGGTCCGGAAATATCTGTACGTGATTACAGAGATAAACAAAAATTTAAGGGCTTATTATACACTACACTTTACTTAACACATAATATTATGTATAATAGAAATTTAATTTAATTTGACGTAGTTATTTTTGTTTTATTTCGATCAAAATGGGCACGGTTCCAAAGAACTAAAATAAATATTATTTTATCTATATTGTCATTACACTAGGGTACTACAACGATTCCACGTATCATCAGTGGAATTACCTAATGTGCCCTTAACATTTTTCTGTTAATAAAAACATATATGTGATACGTTTCAATGATGTGTGCAAATAAAAATTTTAATACAAGTAGATACTTATGTCGAAAACAAATATAAATAACAACTTTAGTTATATTATTATACTAAGATGTTCCATTTCAAAAACTAGCATATTTATTTAAAGACAATAAATCAATATAAACTACTGTATAAGTATAATATACTCACACATTGCCATCGTATAATCTTTTGTTTAATCTTATGACAATTTTAACGTTATTTTCTTTGAAATAATCAATGTACTCTTCGGGTCGGTGATATAATGGACCTCTGTGCTCCACGGGGCCAATAAATGCTAGAAATTTACCTGAAAACATTATATTACAAGCATCGATTACGTTATTTCCAATATTTGTCAATTCCTCTAAAAAGATATGTACCTATTTGATCTTTTTTTATTTATATATAGTAAAAGCAGATAAAAATTAGTACGGAGTGTGACAAACGGAATGTGAAACGAATGATGATGATCATGGCGATTATGATTACGATTACGATAACAGTGACGCCTTTTTCAGGAATATTCCGATTATATTCCGGATGTTAGTCTAAGCGAGCCTTAAAAACGGCAAAGACCCCGGGCGAAGACGGAATTACAACGAAGCTTTTGAAAGCGGGTGGAAAACCAGTACTTGAAGTCCTTCAAAGCTCTATAATTCTGACCTCCATGGTGGCACAACTTCAGAGTCGTGGAGCACAAGTGCAGTGGTCTTGTGCTTCAAAAAAGGCGACAAAGCTGTCTTGAAGGCCTACAGACCGATTTCCCTAATGAGTCGCGTCTGCGTGCTGTTTTTGAGAGATATTAGTCATCTCGCACGCAGACTCAACGACTTCTATCCTCCCGAACAAGCCGGTTTCCGAAAAGGCTTTAGCACCGTAGACCACATACATACTCTTTGGCATATTGTACAGAAGACCCAAGACTACAATCTGCCACTTTGTCTCGCGTATGTGGAATATCAGAGAGAGCAATCGACGGATTCAATTCAGCTGGGCAGCGCTCGGGAAATTACGACATATCTCGTCAGCTAGGTATACCTCAAAACTTGAAAACAAAATCGTACAACCAGTACGTGTTGCCAGTGATGACTTATGAATCTGAGACGTTAATTTTCACAGCTGACCGTATGAGGAAAATCAAGGTCGCTAAGGGAGCTATGAAAAGGGCCATGCTCGTGGTATCTCTGCGCGATAAACTTAGAAATGAGGTTATCCACTGACAGAGATGATGATCATGGTGAAACTATGACGATAATGATGATGTCGAAGACATTTACTATGATGATTATGACGACGACAATGATGCTGACGTTGATGGCGACAATTATGATTATGGTGATGACGATGCCGATTGAAGATGATGCTGGCGGTAACTATTACGATGATGATGTTGATAAAAATGATGATGACGACCACAATTACGATGATAATGACGATGACGATAACGTTATTAATGATGGTGGTAGTGATGATAGTATCAATAAATGCTTACAGCAGGATTTTAATAATTTACTAGTGAATAATTTGTCTTTCAACCTTTTTTTCTGGGAATCTTTATGAGATGAATAGAAATAAGCTAGTGTGATTTACTGCCCAAAAATTACATCAGCAATTGTAATCAAGTTAGAGCTTACAATTTATCAATACAGTATAATATGTTTCAATAATTGCACGGTAAACTAACCAGGTATAATCCAATTTAGATCGCCACCCTGTATTTTATCTAATCGGTCATATTCATTA